AGTTCATCATCTCTTTGACATGTCACAGTCTATTTGGGTTTTTTTTCTTCTTTCAGCCAGCTCTCCACTGAATCTCAGTTGGAGGTGTCAGAGGAAAGCAAATGCTTAATTGTGGTTAAATATTTCAAAGATGAAAGCAACAGGATGGGCAAAATTATTGACAAGTATGTGTCCTGGTACTGGAGACCACAGAAATGGAGACCATTTGTTTTTAAGAATTTTCATGATGGCAAACAGAAGTTTCTGAGTTCTGTTTGAAGATGGAAGCCTAAGTGCAGGAGAATTAAGAGTCTGACCTGAGATAAGGCTCTGACCTAAGACTGATGTTCCTTGTCAGTTGAAAGAGGAGGATGAAATATGATCGGTGGCATAGATTCGGAGCGAGATTCCCATCTGGTGTAATTTATCCCAATTTCATTGAATTAATCCATTTTCAAGGTAGTGAAGTTAAATTGAATTATGTAGTCTGGAATCTGGCCTTTTGTATAACCTCACTGTTTCACAGGAAAATCGATGCAGAGTTAAACTGTAATCCAGTCCTCCTCATAGTTTTAGCTACATCTGGAACTCTATAAGGCATGAGCTAGAAGTGCAGTGTAGTAGGTCACTACCTAAAGCCAGAAGATAGGCCAGGAGAGGCTTTAAGAGATCTGCTCCTCCCTTTCCTAATGCATGATCAACTCTAGCTGTGTCATTCCTGTACATCATACTTGCTTTTCCTGTGCTTTAGTGGTGGAGATTCTCCAGTGCCTCTAGGTAATTTTTGCCTCTCCTTAAAAAGATTTCTCATAACATCTCTTTCCAGTTTTTCTTGCGGATGTTCGGTCCTGTTGCTTTTCCTGTTCATCCGTGTAGACATGGTCATTGCCTGTTTCACTGCAGTAGCTTCCAAGATGTTTGTCTGCTACTGTCCCTTCTCAGGCTACCGTCTCTTCTTACATTTAACAGTCTCAGTTCATTCAGTCTCTTCTCATAGCTTGTGTTTGTCTGACCTTCGATTATTCTGGCTGCCTTTCTCTGGGTTCTTTCCAAGTCTTATTTGCCTTATTTCATTTGCTGTATTTAAAGTGCATCATCCCAGCCTGGACAGTACTCCAGGCAGAGCCTTGCTAGTGCTAGGAGGTGGAGAGTCTTAACCTGGGTGTAAAGCAGTCCATAGCCCTGCTCATACACCCTCGTATGATGATTGCCACTTTGTCACCAACATGACATTTTGGTCCCCTGTTATCCAAGATGCTGTCTACACAGTTCAGCCAGGATGATCCGTTTTGCTGGTACCTCCTAGAGCTTCCCAGGAGGGAAGGTACCTTGACCGTGCTCAATCCAACAGTGAGCTCAAGCTCTGTCCGTGATATCTGGATCAACTGGAAATACGTGAGTAGGGGTGCATGAAGCACAGCGCAGGCCATTAGCTGGCATCTCAAGTCTGGCTTTTCTTCCATAGAATTTGGGCTCTGGAGCTATCAGCCAGCAGTGTGAACAGAAATCATCTGTTGCCAAAGCTTGCGGTGCCTGAGCCTGATCTTTGCTGCCGTTTTTCACTGTTCACACATGGGAAGGAGCAATGAATGGTCACAGTGGCGAGGACTGTGTAGGACAGGGAGTTCTGCACGTCAAATCCAGTTACTATCGCAGTGCAAGCTCCCCATGGCATGTGTGCTTGTTTATGCTAATTTGCACTGTAGTAATTTTTCAATGCAATAAGTTGTTGCATAAAAGTGAGCTGTAAAATTTATTTTGGAATTCTTGTATTTTATGTGCTTTTATTCCCACAATTACACTAAAGCTGTAATGACCTGTTAAATTAGAAATAATATGTTCAATGGACAAAATCACGTACCAGACAATGTAGGACACATTAAGTAATCATGTAAGGAGCCAGCTTAGAGCTTTGTCACTTCATTAAAATCTCGCACTTAAGTATCCCTTTTCATGTTCTGTACAGGCTGATAGTTAATTGATGACTATTTTAATAAGAAAGTTGAACCAATACTATTAAAATTAAATGGCTGTTTTCTGACATCAATACACATCTTGTGGTAAGATACTGAAATATTGTCCGGTGGCTCTGGTCACATCTGGAAGACAGTCCTGTTCTTTGCAGATAGGCCTTTCCCAAAAGGGGAAGCAAAGTGAAGATTCCCCAGAAGTTGGCCTGTATTAACTAAATAGATAATTGAATAGAAAGTTTGACATCCTCATAGTAATTGCAGCGCAATTAAAGCACACACTTCAGTGTTGCAGTTGGACCTGCACAAGGGAAGGATGCCTGCATCTGGGCAGGTGCTAGTTGACTTCAGCACTATTCCATCTGGGCAAGAGTATCTTTTCAGAAAAGTCTGCATGGGGAGGTTTTGTGCATATGTATTTGTGTTCAGATGACGGGATAAAGAGAAATACGGGCCAAACTCAGGGCTGGCTATTTAGTTGGAAACAAATAGCTAGGAGGTCAGCAGGCCTGGCAGTAGGCGGAAATTCTGTGCAAGCACGGTTGGAGCAGAATTACACCATGTTTACCGATCACAGTGCAAGCTCAAGCTGGCAAAATGAAACTTTCACAAGTACGATGCGACTGTTGAGACATATTAGTATAGCAAAAGAAGGAAAATCCAGGTATATCACAATTTGTTCTCTTTCTGGTCAGTAGGATGAGACACTGTATCTCTTTGAAATGCTAATACAAACTTGCCAGGTCATTGTGGTGTATGCGGAAATATATCTGTGCATGCACATGTTCATGTACAGTGTTCTAAATTACTTACAGTTATTTTTCATAAAAGGTCTTTCAAAGAAAAGGTGTTTTAAAGAATAGTACAGCTGTCCATTTCCAAAGGTGGTTTTACCTCTCCAGCACTGGACAGAGTTTGAGCAAAATGAACCTGAAACAATGAATACTGAATCAAAACCAAGTGATGCCAGACAAGGAGTCTGAATTCCCGACATTTAACTACCAGAAACATCTGTTTCTGTGTGTTGGTAATTCCACCTTTTTTTAAAAGTGTTTTTAAAGATGGGAACAATTTTATGAATTGGAAAAAAAAAAAAAGGTCCCCAGCACATGTATCTGTAATTACCTGGTTTAGCCTGTGTGTTTAATCAATATGAATTGAGAATGCCATGTATGTTTGATTTCAATCTCAAAGAGCAATTGAGCACTGGACAGTTACTCTTCCCCCATCTGCTAGTATGTTCCTATGCAAAAAAACCCAACCAACCAAACAAAAAAAACCACCAACCAAACAAAAACCTTAACCAACCAACCAAAAAAAAAAAACCCCAACCAACCAACACCCAGCAAAAAGGGGGAGGATGGAACTAATATACGCATATTTTCTAAAGAAGCCACTTGACTCCGATTAAATGTCTGATTTCCTTAAAGTATTGTTTTGGATTTAGATCCTTGTTTGATTCTGAAATTGGGATTTTTTTTTTTTTATGTAGTTGAGGAATATCACTTAAAGATTGGCCGTGTTCCAGCATCCAGCTGGCATAGCTATAAAGTGTGTGAAAGTGAATAGCATACATATTCTGCGGTGGCTTCCCCATCCTGCCAAAGATTTAGGCTCCAGCTTAACTATTCACTGCCAGAAGTGCCACTGAGTCAAATGGCATTACTCAGATGGTTAAAATCAAGGTTTTCCCGGGGTAACAAGTCTTAGCTATGTGTTAGGTAGTTTTTTGCCCTCTCTTTTTTTGCATTAGTCCCTCTCCACTTTTAGAGAAGCACTTTTTGTGTGTGTAGGTTTCATTATTTGTTTTAATAATCTGGCAGAGGAGCTTAACCTTGAAATGAAGAATCATTATGTCCAAATTGATGATTTCTTCCAGCGGAAATACTGTCAGAACATAGTAATCATGTGACCTGAGAGTTATATTTTAAATAATAAATTTAAAGGTCGTACTTAAAAAAATTAAGTTAAAAAAAAAAAAAAACCAACCCGAGGTAACCTCCGGTATCAGTACAGGTTGGGGGATGAAGAGATTGAGAGCAGCCCTGCGGAGAAGGACTTGGGGGTACTGGTGGATGAAAAGCTGGACATGAGCCGGCAATGTGCGCTTGCAGCCCAGAAAGCCAACCGTGTCCTGGGCTGCATCAAAAGCAGCGTGGCCAGCAGGTCGAGGGAGGGGATTCTGCCCCTCTGCTCTGCTCTGGTGAGACCTCATCTGGAGCACTGTGTCCAGCTCTGGGGCCCTCAGCACAAGAAGGACATGGACCTGCTGGAGCGGGTCCAGAGGAGGGCCACCAAAATGATGCGAGGGCTGGAGCACCTCTCCTATGAGGCCAGGCTGAGAGAGTTGGGGTTGTTCAGCCTGGAGAAGAGAAGGCTGCGAGGAGACCTTATTGCGGCCTTCCAGTACTTAAAGGGGGCCTACAGGAAAGATGGGGAGAATCTTTTTAGCAAGGCCTGTTGTGACAGGACAAGGAATAATGGATTTAAACTACAGAAGAATAGATTTAGACTGGACATTAGAAAGAAGTTTTTTACAATGAGGGTGGTGAAGCACTGGCACAGGTTGCCCAGGGAGGCAGTGGAGGCCCCATCCCTGGCAACATTGAAGGTCAGGCTGGCTGGGGCTCTGAGCACCCTGATCTGGTTAAAGCTGTCCCTGCTCACGGCAGGGGGGTTGGGCTAGATGACCTCTAAAGGTCCCTTCCAACCCAAAGCATTCTATGATTCTACGATTCTAGCTGAAGTTTTACTGAAACTTTCTGTTAGTCAGCGTGCTTCTGGTGACTGGACGTGAGGGAGTACTTGGAGTTTGCATCGCTGGTACTAGCAGGCAGCTGCTTTTGTTCTTACCCAGTTTCTGAGGGCCAGAGTCCCCCAGGTGACTGCAGCTGCTGTGGAACAGGTTCAGCCACCCAAGGTAGCACCTACTGATGCCTCAACCATTGTTAGGCAGAAGGTTGACCAGCAGTTCCCTGCCAGCTGTTTTAAATACGAGTTTTAGGACATCAACTTATTTCTCTCATCTCTCCCCCTTCCTTTTGCTTCTAGAGTTGCTGGAACTGTGGCCGGAAAGCTAGTGAAACCTGCAGTGGTTGCAACACAGCACGATACTGTGGCTCATTTTGCCAGCATAAGGACTGGGAGAAGCACCATCACATCTGCGGACAGACCCTCCAAGCCCAGCAGCAAGGAGAGACACCAGCAGTGAGCTCCTCCGTGACGCCCAGCAGCGGGGCCGGGAGCCCCATCGACACTCCACCAGCAGCCACTCCTAGGTCCACCACCCCGGGAACCCCATCCACCATAGAGGCGACTCCTCGTTAAAACTGAACTCAAAACTCTGAAAACAAAAACACAACAAAAAATGAAACCAATTCCTCATCCTCAGATGCGCAAAGATTTTAACTGAACTGTCATATTTCAATACTTCAATAAGAAAGAACTTACTGTATCTTGAGGTGGTAGAAAATACAGAAGGCCAGTAACGGGTCATAATGACTTATTGTGGATAACAAAGATATCTTTTCTTTAGAAAACTGAAAAGAGAGCAGAGAATATACACAAAATGATAGATTTGACCTCCTCCCTGTTATTTTCCAGTAGCTGGGATTTTAAACTAGATGACCTCATTAACAGATGCTTTACCAAACAGCAAACCAAGAGATTGCTAATTGCTGTTGAAAGCAAAATGCTAATATTAAAGTCACAATGTTCTTTATAACAATAATGGAAATTAAAAAAAAAAAAAAAAGAGAGAGAGAGAAAAAAATAACCCTCAAGGGCATGAGCATTGGATACAGCAGTAGACATTTTAACAAGAAGATGAATGGCGTCCGTGGGTTACTGACTGAACTTTGAAGACCCGCATCAAAACGCGCAGATGTGCAGCAGATTGGAAGGAGACACAGATGTTCATTTTTTTTCCTGTTTCTGAAAGAAATAAAATAATATCCAGGTCAACAGAATGAAAAATGAAAGATGATTTGCAGTGGGATGTAGGACTACAGCAGCAAAGAAAAAAAATGCCATAAAAAGGTTTTTTTTTTTTTTTTTTTCCTTTTAAATACAGAAATAAGGGACACAGCCTGCAGTTAATTAGCATCCTGGCGGCTTTGACATCAGCCAGCTGCTCCAACTAAACCTTTCAACATTTCTTCACTTTTTTTGCAAGGTTCCACAGAGTATGACAATCGGGTCTATTCCAGCTCATTCATTTTTGTATTGAAAATTAATAATAATAGTTAATAATACGGTGGCTCCAGCTCCAGCCCCTTTCCAAATTCTTTCCACCCCATCCTGTTTGGATTTTTAATTAA